CTGTGAGGGGTAGGTTTAGGGGTAGGGTTGGTGTAGGGCAATAGAATATACGGTCTGTACAGTATAAAAACCATTACACCTATGGAGAGTCCCCACAAGGATAGCTGACCAGACGTGTGTGTGTGTATCTGTGTGTGAGTGTGTGTGTGTGTGAGTGAGTGAGTGAGTGAGTGTGTGTGTGTGTGTGTGTAAGTGAGTGAGTGCGTGCGAGTGTGTGTGCGTGTGAGTGTGCGAGTGAGTGTGTGTGTGAGTGTGTGTGTGTTAGTGTGTGTGTGTGTGTGAGTGAGTGAGTGAGTGAGTGAGTGAGTGAGTGAGTGAGTGAGTGTGTGTGTGTGAGAGTGCGTGTGTGTGCGTGAGTGTGTGTGTGTATGTGCGAGTGCGTGTCTGTGCGTTGAGTGTGTGTGAGTGTGCGAGTTAGTGTGTGTGTGTGTGTGTGTGTGTTCACCTCTCCTCGCTGCTCTCCACGTGGAAGGTTCTCTCGATGACGCTCGTCCACTGCAGGCAGCGGATCATGAAGGTGTTTGGCCGCGGACGCTCGGTCTTCATCAGCTGACACTCTGGAAACACACGAGCCGTTCACACACACGGTCATACACACATCACAGCTTCAGCGTCTCCAGCAGAGCTCACCTTCCACAGAGAAATTATTGAGCGGAGCCGAGCTCTGATCCGTTAGCTCCGGCTTCTCCTTATAGCCCATGAAGGATCCGTCACTCTTCAGGATGAAGTAGCGCGGCCTCCAGGTCTTGATGTACTCACCTGTGTGTCACACACACACACACACACACACATCAGAACATGACGTCTCACGCCGCAGCAGACAGCGCAGGAGCCTGCCGTACCTCGTTTATAGAGCCAGCCTTCCTTCACCACGCTGACCTCCGTCATGATGGGCGGGGCTTGAGAGTGATTGACACACGGCGCCCTTCAACTTGGTAACTTGTGGCTGGACTTTTAAAATGTAAAACAAAATATTATAGTTCAAAAACCTGGTTGAATATATTTTCTAAAATCTTTGCGTTGGATTAATTAAAAAAATATATATTTTTTTTAAATATTTTTTATTTATTTTTTAAACAGTATTATTTAAAAACTTGTTTTATGTCAGTTTCAGAATACTTATCATTTCTTTAACATCTTTGCTTTGGATTAACCAGAATTTCTGATTAAAAATAAACTTTTTAAAAGAGTTAAAACTCAGAAAATACTACAAAAAAAAATCTTAGTTTATATTAGTGTCGGAATATTTAATCTCTCTTTAACATCTTTGATTAGGACTGATCAGATCTTTTAAATAAAACTTTTAAATTACAAACAAACATTTTGAAAGCGGTAAAAAGTACAAAATAAATTAGTTTATATGAGTGTCATAATATTTAACATCCCTTTAACATTTTGCTTTGGTTAGAATAGAAAATACATTTGAATTAAAATCTGTAATTAAAAACAAACTTTTTAAAAGAGTTAAAACTTATACAATTTTCTTTTTAGTGCTTTCAAACGATTAATCGCATCCAAAATAAAAGTGTTTACATGAGTGTGCTGTGTATATTTATTATGTATATATAAATACACACACATGCATGTATATATTTATGAAAAATATGTTACGTTTATGTATTAAAGGGGTCCTATTATGCTTTTTCACTTTTTTAATTTTAGTCAGTGTGTAGTGTGTATGTTTGGGCATAAAAAAGATCTAGAAAGTTACAAATCTCAAAGTCCACTCCAAAGGGAGATATTTAGTTTTTTAAAAATCCCTTTTCAAGAACTACAACGAACGGCTCGTTTGGACTACAGCGTTGGTTTCCGGGCTTTGTGATATCACAAAGCGGCTCATTAGAATATCATTACAAATAATTCCCGCCTACAGAAATTGGAATGGTTGGGGGGGTGGGCAGGTGTGAGGTTGTGGTTAGAACGCTTGGCTGAGTGAGTGCATCAGACGAGACGATGAAGAAGAAGAGCTGCTGCAGAGTTAGTGCATCAGAGAAAACCAAGAAGAAGAGCTGCTGCAGAGTTAGTGCATCAGAGAAAACCAAGAAGAAGAGCTGCTGCAGAGTTAGTGCATCAGAGAAAACCAAGAAGAAGAGCTGCTGCAGTTTAAATATATTTATATATAATATAAAATATAAATATATAAATGTATATACATATAAATATTTTCTAAATATATACATGCATGTGTGTGTATTTATATATACACATTATAAATAAACACAGCACACATATTATGCATGCACTGTAAGTTGCTTTGGATAAAAGTGTCTGCTAAATGCATAAATTATTATTATTCAATTATTATTATATAAACAAAAACGTTTATTTTGAAATGTGATTGTTTGACAGCACTAGTTATTTAAAAAAAAAAGTAGTTTAAATCAATGTCAGAATATTAAATTTCTCTTTAAAATTTTGCTTTGGATTGATCTGACTTTTTTATTCACTTTTTAAATAACAATACATTTCTTAAAAGTCATAACTAACAAAATATAATAATTAATATAATCAATATCATTATTATTATTAGTTAAAATAATTGTTTTTATTTCAAAATAAAAACTTGGTTTAGTCTTTCTTTAACATCTATGCTTTGTATTGATCATAAAACATAAGACTTTTTAAGAAAAAAAAAAAAGAGTTAAATACTATAAAATTCTAAAAAGGTTATCATGGTACATACCATTACCATATTCAAATACTATGATATTTACATGGCTCTCGCCAGAATATCGTCTTACTGACACCGCGGTACACGGTATTACCACAGTACAGTTAAAACACGGTATTCCCGCCCGGATAATGTAAACTGAAGAACTGACACATTATGCGTTAAAACACAAGTTATCGCGTCCTGAAGGCGTTTGTGATGAAATCTCCAGATGAAGAAGGTTTAGTTAGTCGTGTGAAGCTGCTAGTTGAAGCTAAGCTAACTTACCTTAAAAACTAACACAACATGAACTTTGAGCTTCGGCGAGCAAACCGACGTTAACCGTCACGCACCGAGCACTCACACGTATTCTGATATTATTCACAGATTACCTCAGATATTACACAGGTTAAACGACTTAATTTAGTGATTTATCCGAACTACCTGTTCGCTGTCAGTGCTGAGCAGTTGTTTACCACACAAACTCTCGGTTAACCATCGCTCCGCTCGTATTGTGGTTAAACACGAGCACACTGACGGCTGTCTCGCTTCATTTATCGCGTTTTGATCCGGATCGAGTGCAAATTCAACACGCTTTTGCACGACTGCGTCTCTCGCGTTCAGAGTTCACCAGCAGCGGCGCACGCCGCGTGACGTCACCGCGCTGCGCCCCGCCCCCCGCTGATCTGGGGTCAGCTCGGCGCGCTTCGCCGCTGCGGCGGGAATCAGAGTGACGCGGAGACACTGATCCGGGATCAGCCTGACCTTCAAACGGCTTTATTTGCACTTCCAAGCGCTGCATAGCGGACCTCTTACAGTAAACAACGACAAGTTACCCAAACCTACTCATAATAACACACACACACACACACACACACACACTCAACTCATTAAAGTACTTTGATGGTAATACTACAGTACTTTTCTGTTAATGACATACAAATAACACATGAATAGCTACACAGTTCGTTTGAAACAGCTGATGTTCAGAACATCTGAGACTCACATCTGGATCTTCTTCAATCTTATAATCTTACATGATTCAACAAACAAACAAACTCAGGGGTTTCAATCTTTCACGGACCCCCAAATATGATCATCCTGGTGCAAGGGGCCCTGATTTAACATTTAAAAGGCAGCAGTAAAAATACATTCATATTGCGAAAAACTATTATAAAAAATGCTTATTTGAGTAAAATAATTTTTTTGTTAACTTTTAAATTTCAAGTGATTTTCTTTTAAACAAATTTATTTTAGTCCTTAATACCTATTTATTTTTAAAACGATTTTTTTATTATTTGTTAATAATACATTATTCTTTGCTCACTAGAATACTGCATTGTTAGATTTATTTTAATCACATTTTTAAATTCAGTTTATTTTAATCAACTTTTTATTTCATTCAAATTATTAATTTTTACTCCAATTTCAAAAATGTTATTAAAAATGGTTTTAAACCGATTTCTTTTAATTTAGTTTTTTTTTCAAATTGATTACTTTAAAATCAATTTATTGTAATCAACTTTTTAATTCAGATTATTTATTTTTAAAACAATGTTTTATTTTATTCAGATTATTTATTTTAAAACCAATTTATTGTCATCAATTTTTAATTTTATTCAAATTATTTATTTTTAAATCAATTTATTTGAATCAAATTTTTATTTTATTCAAATTATTTATTTTTAAATCAATTTATTTTTAATCAAATTGTCATTTTATTCATTTAAAAAAAATACATTTATTTTAATCACATTTTTGTTTTATAGAAATGATTTTTAAACAAAAAAATAAATAATAAAATTTAAAAAAATATTTTTACTTTAATCAAATTATTTATTTTTAAATAATTTTATTTCAATCATATTTTTAATTCATTCAGATTATTTATATTTATTTAATTTAACCTGATTTTTTCATATTTGATGTATTTTCACGTTTCCACTGACCCGCTAACCCCTGCCGGTCAAACACGGTTTACATAACAGTGCAAGATAAATAACCTGCAATTACACAGAATCCCACGCATTCTGATCATTACAGACGTAAACAACTAGTCACACGTTTCTAGATGCATGTAAGAGCGCTACATGTAACCAGATAAGATTAAAACACAAATGCAAGAGACAGAATGAACGCTCGACACAGCAGCGGATCAGAAACACATTAAAAGACATCATTAATATTCACAGAAAAAGAGAAGTGAAAGGCAGCGGGTGTAAAACGACAAGGGTGTCGAGGGCAGGAGTGAGTTTCTTGCATCTTGAAGCGTGAGAGGGAAGCGTCTTGTGTTCGTGGCTCTGCGCAGACGTTTGCGCAGATCTTCCTGATGCGCAGCTACGCCGCATTGATCTTCTGCAGCTCCTCCAGCAGAGCTGTGGAGGAAACACAGGAATCACAGCAGGTCAGAGCGGGATCACATCACTGTATTTCTGTGAAGAAGAGCGGAGGAACCCCACTGACCGCTGATGATCTCGTCCTTCACCTTCTGCAGCTCCTTGCGCATCTCCTCCAGGATGTCCTGCGGTCAGACAGGGCTGTTTTCAGTGTCGGGGAAACTTACTTTTGAAAGTAATGCATTACAATGTTGCGTTACTCCCTAAAAAACTAATTTTGTTACTTTGTTACTTACTTTTTATGGAAAGTGATGCATTACGTTACTTTTGTGTTACTTTTTAAATCTGGGCGGGGCTTGCTTGTTTGTTTTTAATATAAAAAGCTCTTCTTCTACAAACGTAAAAGCCCTTTCTCACCAAAAGTGAAGTGAATGTGCCTCAGGCTGAAGGAAATGTAAATTCACGTCTGTACAGTAGAGGGCGCCGCTCAAACTAATCACATGAAGAATATGACGCAGGAGAAGAAAGTTCAACACTATTCAGCAATAACACAAATCGAACACAAATGTGTCATTTTTGATTATTAGTATGATTGCATTGGATCATCGAAGGTCAGCAGCAAAGACACTGGTTAATAAAATGGGACTAAATAAAGGATATTTGTGTTATTTAACAATTATTGCAGGTTTGTATAATATTCTGAGTTTGCATTTGACTGTTTTTATTGATTGTGAGGAACACTGAATGTGTTTGTGTGCAGTGAGATGAGTAAACACATGTTGATATTTAGTCTAGAACTACAGTAAGATCATGTTCACACACAACGCTCTGCACTTACTCCTGATTTCTGTCACCATGGCAACACCAGAGCTGTCACTCAACACATG